TATCTTCTTCATATTCTCGCAGGCCGAGAATCATGTTAAGGAGATGGTTTCTGAACGAACTGTCTTGCACAGTAAGAATTATATTCCCAATGAACCTTCCCAACGTTATATGCTAACAATTGATCCAAGGAGTCTTGAAAGAGCTGAGGCGAATGAGCCCAGTCCATCAAATCACGATGTTGAAATTCATTAAAAATCTGTCGATGCTTTCAACTACTCTAGATTCACTCCAGAACTCCAACGCCATCGATGTCTTGACTGATCTGCTTCGATCAAACCTGAGAAAATCACACTTCCGTGAGCTCTCGAACCAGATCCTCAACACCATCTACAATATGTGCCGTCTGAACAAGTCTCGACAAGAAGACGCTGCACTGAACGGCATTGTACCGCTTCTGCAAAAGATCGTACTCACAGAGCGGCCGCTGAAAGAGTTTGCCCTACCAATTCTCTGCGACATGGCACAATCTGGAAAAGTTGGCCGTAGAGAGCTGTGGCGCAACAAGGGTCTTGGCTTTTACATCTCTTTGCTCTTGGATCCATATTGGCAAGTCACTGCCTTGGATGCTATCTTCACATGGTTTGTCTCCCGTTCCGAAAGCGTAGCTGGTCCTAAAGCTGACAATGAACAATAATAGGCTTCAAGAAGAAACCGCCAAGGTTGAGGAACATCTATTGGATGGTATTTTTGAGAGTGATACATTTGAGGGCCCCATTACATTCACTGGTGCCATTGCGGAATGTTTGAAGCTTTCGAAAGCCAACGCATTCGAGAATACTCTGGAGCCTCTGCAAAAACTTCTTCGGCTCAGTCCTCACGTCGCATCCACCTTCGCGCGGCCCGATATCTTCCAGAGACTGAGGCAGAAGCTACACCACACCAAAGCCGCCGTCCGACTCAATCTTTTGCGTATAATAGCCAGCATTTGTGATTCAAACGAAGAGCAAGGCGGGCTACTCGCAACCTATGGTCTGCTCGATGCTATTCGAAACATGGAGAACGACCCTGCAGTCCTTGTCAGAGATATGGCAGGTAAGCTAGTTCGATCCAGCGAGGCATATGGCGTCAGCAAACGCAGACCGACAGCCCGACGACAAAGCACATGCACTACCCCTCCTATCTTATTCTCGGCATCATCTACCCCGTCCACACCCTCATCTAGCCGCACCGGCCAGTCAAGGGGATACCTAGAAGGCCGGGAAACTCCACGGCACCCGCGGAACTCTCTCAGTGTTTCTTCTCTGGCTATGAGACCTGGCAGTCGGGATGGCAGCAACCCGGTTCTTGGACCTGCCTCCAATGGAAGCAGTGCGGCTGCTGCCAGGCCCAGGTCTGCACGACCCCTCTCAAGTAGAATGACTCACGTAGAGCTATTGCGTGAGGAAGACAACAAGACTCCAAGCTCGCTAAGTCGGCGGCCTTCAATCATCCCTCGTCGCCGCCGCCCGACACTCGCAGACTCCGAGTGGACGTAATTTGACATCCAAAATGGTCTAGCGAATTGATATTTTTGTGTTATTGCGTTTCCGATTTCTCTGCCTCATATTGGTCTGATTGTACAAAGGTGACGGCGTTGTCAACTCTAAATGGGCTTTGGGGTGATGGTGCATGGTTTTACTCCTTTGTAAAGGCCCTTCTGTTATTATGTGGGCACTGGTTGCTGCACATAGAGTCTATGGTTTATTTTCTGTTTGAATCAATAATTTCTTCTAATTTGCAACAGTGTCCTTGGCATAAACTCATAAATAAACAGTTTGACTTGGATAATATAAAGGCGTTGTATTTGTTAGCGGCCTAGCTCCTTGATATATAGTCCCGCTCCCTTCTCTCCCTCCTTCATGCTATATATCGATTTATGTTTCTTTCGTGTCTCTGCTTCGCTATCGGATCTACTAGTTAATCCCCATTATCCAACTTGTTCAACACCAAATTAGCTATGATGTGTGTTATGGGCTGATCTATTAGATGGGATCACGTGCAGCGTCGAAGCCGATTGGCGGCGAGAACCGTGAAAAATCTCTTTGCGCCGTAAGTGATCATACGATGAATTAAGCCCAGAAACCCCTACAAGCACTCTCAGTCCTTTCTTATTTTCTTTTGGTCTTTTTCTGGCCGGTGGCCTTCGCCTCGGGAATGAGCGCAACGCTTCGCGTGCCGTTGCGGGCATTCAAGATTGATCCCGCAACGGTCATCGGGAAAACGTCCAAACCCTCAACATCTGGATCCTCGTTTCTTCTGGCCTCGAACTCGCCGCTACGACCGTCGCCGTGTTCTGGTGCAATTAATGCTTTATCATGGGGTCGTTCAGTGTCCTCCCAGGGCTCGACCCTCGCCTCTTCACGCCGTTGTTTTTCTGTGAAGGCTTCGCCTCTCTTGTCTGCGGAGACTAAGAACCAGCACAAGTCCGAAAATGCGCCCAATACCAGTGCCTCACAGCGGAGTGTCATTAAATGGTTTCTCATTGGAAGTATACTCGGTTTGGGCGCTGTGACGTTCTCTGACCAAGCGGAGCATGCGTTCCAGGCAGCGAAACGCACTGGGCGCGTTGTTGGCACACTAGCTGTCTGTATCAACGAGTAAGTGGATTACAGTACTCTATAGACCTTTCCTATGTTGCGCCTTGGCAAAATCGCTAATATAACCTCGAATCTTCGCAGCTACCGTGTTACCCTGAAACAAGACGCCTCGTCCCCCGAAGAACACAACGAACTGATTCGCGCATGCCACAAGCGATGTGCCGAGCGTACACTCCGTGTCCTAGAGAAGAATGGATCGATTTTCATCAAATTGGGCCAGCACCTCAGCAGCATGGGCTACCTACTTCCCATCGAATGGACCTCGACCTTCATCCCGCTCCAGGACAGATGCCCCGTTTCGTCAATTGAGTCAATCGGTGAGCTATTCCGCAAGGACACAGGCCAGGATATGAATGAGTTATTCGCCTCTTTTGAATCGACACCCATCGGTGCTGCATCGCTGGCACAGGTACACATTGCTACGTTGAAGGAAACCGGACAAAAGGTCGCTGTTAAAGTCCAGCACCCCGCGCTGGACGAATGGGTGCCGCTGGACTTGGCTTTGACTCGATTTACTTTCTCTATGCTTAAGCGCTTCTTCCCTGAATATGACCTGGAATGGCTGTCCAAGGAGATGGATTTCTCGCTACCGAAAGAGTTGGACTTCCGCATGGAAGCGCAGAATGCTACTCATGCCAGCGAGTACTTCAAGAAGCACTCTGATGCCCCACTGGTCATTCCCGAAGGTTGGTAATGCTGCCAATCCTGTCTTTATATGTATAACTCGAGGCTAACTAGATCCCAGTGATGTGGTCCCAAAAGCGTATACTCGTCATGGAGTACATCGCAGGTCACCGCCCCGACGACTTGGAGTACCTTGATGCCAATAACATCGACCGCGACGAAGTCTCCGCCGCTCTCGCGCACGTCTTCAACGAGATGATCTTCGGTGATAACGCCCCACTCCACTGCGATCCGCACGGCGGCAACATCGCCATCCGCCCGAACCACACCCGCTCATACCCCAACTTCGACATCGTCCTCTACGACCATGGTCTCTACCGTAACATCGACCGCGACCTACGCCGCAACTACGCCAAGCTGTGGCTAGCCGTTATTGACGCGGACGTGCCGCGGATGCGCGAGTTCGCGTACAAGGTCGCCGGTGTCACAGATAAGCAGTTCCCGCTCTTTGCCAGCGCCATTACCGGTAGAGACTACAGCGTTCTCACGAAGCAAAGCGTCGTTTCTTCGCGGACGGCTAAAGAAAAAGATCATATGTCCGGTGCCTTGGGTGAAGGCATGCTGCAGCAACTGGTTGTCTTGCTAGGTCAAGTTCCCCGGATCATTCTTCTTATCTTGAAGACCAATGACCTCAGTATGTATTTCGAATTCGACCCTCTGTTCTTTTGGATCTCATCTGCTAACTCTCTCCCAGCTCGCAGCCTAGACGAAAACCTTCACACGCGCCAGGGCCCAATGCGCTCTTTCCTTATCCTCGCGCGGTATGCCACGCGCACGGTCTTTGAAGAGCAGTTGGAGATCATCAAGGAGTCTGGCGGTGTCTTCCGCAACTTCTTCCGCTTCATCTATGCCTACGCGAATTACCTTCGCGTTGAGGTCAAATTGTCTGTTTATGAGACTTTGCTGTCCTTGAAGACTCGCTTCGGCCTTCGGAGTGGTTAGACCGTGTGCTCTTGTGGATGCCCTGGCCTTGGTACTTTTTCTTCATTTGTCCTGTTTTTCCATTATATCCCTTGTTTTTTGGTTTGTTTGTTTTTTGTTCATTGGCACGGATTGTCTTGAGTGATCTGTCTGTGCATCAGCGATGGCGTTATATATTTCTTTTCGCACATGCCCTCTTCATATCTTGACTGGATTGTTAAAGGATGGGTTCTATGTTTCTGGGCTTCATTCTGCTGTTTTCTCGCAGAAAGCAAAGGCCCAGTGTGGTCTTGTATAAATAGATAGATTGTTGATAAATTATAAATCATAGACTGTTTCTGATATTACTTGCTCTACATTTCACAAAAGGATCACTGTTCTGGTTTCATTGTTTCATTGGAAACTATCAAGGTGCTGCTTTTCAGAAAATGGAGATGAGAGAGTAATCGATCAAGGATCCCAGATACCAAGGCGCCATCGCAAGAAAAAGAAGAAAAAAAAGACAAAACGTACCAGAATGAATAAAAAGGGAAATATGTACATCAAACAAATGGGCAATTTGTTCGTTTTCATCTCATCCATCGCCATCTCTTGCCACACACATTCTCAGTGGCAAAAAGTACAACGAATCCCAAATCCGCCCGTTCCTGTCGATTTTCTCCGACAAAAAAACAAGCGTCCTTGATCAAATGATTGTGTATGAACACAACCTCGGAATTAAAAATCGCAGAGTTCGTGAAACGAAACGAGCGGGGTTGCATCAGATAGAGAATCCATCCGATAAGCTCACACCGTTAAAAGCAAAAACGAAAATGAATTTAAATGGCAGCAGCAGGGCCACCAGCAGTCTCAACCTTAACATCAGGAATGACGCCGCCTGTCCCGGACAGATCTGTGGCACGGGAGTTGGGGTTCTTGGTGTAGTAATTGGCAATAGCAGACTTGATAGCATCCTCGGCAAGCATGGAGCAGTGCACTAAAGTGTATATATTAGCATTCGAACGGACCAAATTCATCAACCATCAACCATCACAAGGGGGAAAGACATACGCTTGACAGGAGGCAGACACAACTCCTTCGCCACATCGGTGTTCTTAACCCTTCCAGCCTCGTCGAGGGTCATACCGCGCACGAGCTCAGTCAGATAACTGGACGAAGCGATAGCACTACCACAGCCGAAAGTCTTGAAGACAACGTCATCGATACGGCCGGAGTCCTTGTTGACGCGGATCTGCAACTTCATGACATCGCCACAGGCGGGTGCGCCGACGAGACCGGTACCAACGTCCTCGTCGGCCTTCTTCATGGAGCCAACATTCCGGGGGTTGTTGTAGTGGTCAAGGACCTTCTCGTGGTATCCTCTGCGCTGTTGAGCTGGGGCGGGAGCTGCGCGGCGAATAGCGGGTTGAGCGGATTGCAGGCCGGTGAGGGGAGAAAGGGCGCTGCGAGTTGCGACAGAGCCCAGGCGGGGGGGTAATGGTGACTAGACGCTTGAACATTGTGGATTATTTGTTATGTTTTGATGGAGGTATTTGTTTTTCACAGGTGAAGTGTTGTTGAAGGCGAAAAAAGATGGATCTGATAGGGAGAAGGTGATGAATTCATAAATAATCTGATCGGGTCTTAGATAAGCACGCTAGTCCTAATGGAGCAGTTTCTTTGGCCGGATCCGCCGGTCGCCGGAGATGACAAAGATGACGTTCGGGGTTTATCTCTTCCTTCGTCTTCGATTGTGAGATCTATTTAATGCGAATGATGTACCAGATGAGAAAAGTTGGGGAATTATCTCTTTGTGCCAGTGAGAATCCGTCCTGGTGATATCAGTTCCTAGCAGTGGCGAGCTTTCTGCACCACTCAAGTTCTCCGCGGTGGACTCGCCCGGTCAACGCCTTGTTTTCCGCCTCTCCTTGAGCCAATTGTTGGGCGATGATATCAAATAGTGGATAGAAGTGATAGGCCAACCCTGACGATCAATTATCAATTTGATGTTTGTACGTTCTTCGACTATTCGAATGCAATATATATTTATCGAGCTAAGACTACATTCTTGCAATCCAAATTAGACAGACCTTATCCCCGCGGAGTTACATTCGGAGACAAAGACGGAGTATAGTTCCACTCCTCGGCTTCTTCTATTCTCCAATCGGGATACGCATACCTAAATGAGAAAAGAAGTACCAGGCTAACCGTATCTATCCTTTTCGGCATTGCTCACTGATTAGCCAATCTGCTAGTATGATACCCGTGGACATTATAGGTTTTCCATCTTCCATCCTATAAGTACAACAGAACGACTTGGAAAACAACAAAGGCATCTAGATGCAGCACAAGCTCAATGACCAGTCGCTCTTATTCATATATCAAACGACAAATCCCAAGCCCCAGACCCAATGCAAGGCTAAAACTAGATATATGCAACTACAAAGCCTGACGCACAGCAGACTTGAACTAAACCAGGAGACAGGTTAGCAACGAACAGAAAACAAAACCAGACAACCCTCTTCCTGCCTAACATACCGGAATAATCTGCGCATTCTCCATATCCCACACACCAGAAGTGACATAGATATCCTTGTTCAGCAGCTCAAGCACCTGAGCCTCATTCTCCGCAACAGCAAGCATCATGCTTCCCTTGAAAGAAGGGCTCTCGCCATCGGCGGGGTGAGCATTGAGCATTGCGCCTAGACAATAGACAATCCATGTCAGTACAAATATGCTTACAAACTTTCCATGACACGATCTAGACAAGGGCAAAACAGAAATAAAGTGAGTCACATACCACCGGCAACAATAGCACCAGACGCAACGTTCGGCTTAACACCCTCGAGGTGGTTACTGAAGACTACATTAGCAAGACTCCCAGAGACATGTCCCACGCTGGACTCCAGATGCTGGTAAACACTCACGGGCGAACCTCAATACGCTTCGCCTGCATGCCGGGCTTATCGGGCAGGATGCAGAGGAACTCTCTTTTAGCAGGGGCGGAAGACATATTGCGGGATTGGAAGGTTAGGATTGATTTTCTGGGTGTTGGGAATGTTTTTATCGCGGCTGAGGGGTAGGAAGAGAAGAAGTGTGATGGTGGGACGCGGAGCGGTACCCGCGCGTGGGGGAAAGCGGGGGCTTTGCTTTGGAGGGCGCGGGTGACACGAAGTGACATGGTGAAGGGAATGGAATGTATTGGTTTGTTCGATTGGTGGTTTCTGTACGGAGTACGAAGTATCCAACTACAATGTAAGTACTTTGTATCCCGGATTTTCCCTATGTTGTAGGGGGATAGTTCCTATTTGAGCCGCCTTTATGGCACGGACGTGAGGGGTCACGTGCATAATGATATTTTGTTCAATTTTTGTTATATTTGGAGATAAAGAGAGATTAATTGATAGGTAGAAGGGGGTAGAAGCGGATCAAAGAAGATCGAGGTTCAGCAAGACGAATGGCTTCGTCTTTGATCTATAACGAAGGACCAAAGACACAGTCCAACGGTGATGTTATTTACAGAAAAACAAAGTATAAGCAAGGAGATGACTGTGGTCAGCCCTTTCTCCTGCTAGTTCTTTTCTAGCGAGACCTGCAAAACCGGAATCTCAACACTGACAGCCTGACCACTCTGATCCAGAGAAAAGATGAACTCGTCCAGACCACGACCTCCATATTGGAGCTTATCAAGATCTAGCCAGGAGACACAAGTCGGAGTTCCATTATCCGCCAACTCAGTGGTATCCTGAAAGACTGCTCTAAAAGCCTGCTTGGATCCAGAGCCAGACTCTTCAACCAGCTGTGTAGGATACAAGCGAATACTCAGATCCGCAGGCTTCGCAACACCCACGATCCCAGCAAGCGTTGCACGGAAGTCAGTGCCATTACTGACAAACTCCTGGATATACAAACCGGGCAAACTATCGTATTTAACAGCAATAGACGAATTGATATTCGATGCCTTGTATTTGCCACCGAAATTCTTAGCAGCCTGCTCAATAGCCGTTTTCATCAACGCTTCTAGCACGACATCACCGATGATATCTGCATGCGCGTTGAGATCTGCCGGGGCCTCGGTATCGGCCGAGAGAATGGCAAAGCCGACGCCGAAGTCAGGGAACAAGCCGAGATATGAACTGTAGAGACTCTCGTCGTTGCCTTCGTTGCTGAGAACGGTGTAGATGTCCACCATGGATGCGTTGGGGTATGATTCGGCGGCGCTGTATATAAGCCATGGGGATCCGATGGAGTTGGCTGGGTTGGAGGTGTGGGAGACTGGTTTGAACCAGCGGTTTGTTTGGGGCTTGGTGAGGAGGGTTGAGTTTAGGATTGCCTGGCCGGCTGTTGCGAGATCTTTGATGCTGGAGAAAATGGATGTTGATCTAGGGTGGATGTATTGTTAGATTGGTGGCTGGGATGTATGGAGAAACGATGGGACTTACGCTTTGTCTGCTTCGTGGTGTGATAACCAACCACTGGCTTCTTTGCTCACGGGAATAATTCCTGTGGCTGTTTTGTTTGGTGCAAAGATTGAGGTTTCGGTCATGCCTAGGACGTTAAAGATGCCATGTTGAAGGACTTTGTTGAATGGTTTTCCCGTGCGCTTTTCGACTATGTAGCCTAGAAGCTGGAATGCCATGTTAGAATAGCTGGGGGTTCCCCCAGCTGGAACCGTCGGAGTTTTGTTGGCCAAATGTCGAATGAAATCTATGAAGCGATTAGTATATAGAGATAGTAGGCACAGAATTGGATTTCGTACCATTGCTATCACACTTTGAACTATCATCACAACAAGGCATGTTGATAGCATGGCGTGGAGGCAGTCCCGCCTTAGTAGAACTTGTTTGTAAAGTTACATCCTTTGAGCAATCTGTTTATCATGCATTAGTCCTAATCACCAACCATCTTCCTGTTCAGTCCCTACTCACAGTCCCTTGCAATTCCAGACATATGACTGGCAAGTTGGCCGACAGTAACGTCATCCCACTTTACATGTCCAATAACGTCTTGTTCCTTTGTACTGTTCCCCAGCTCAGGCAGGTATTTAGTAACAGGGTCATCAAATATCTGGTCTCCGTTTCTCGTGAAAAGAAGACTCCACACAGTGAAAACCTCAGTGAGACCACCAATACGATAAATGCTGTCTTTATCTGCCGCATGGGATCCCACCAAAGTCTGGTTCAATGTAGGGGCTGTGTAGTGATATTGCCAGAAGAAGGGCTCGTCTTCGGCATTGCCGGTGTCAGACGAGAACAAGGCGATGCTAAAGGTAGTATTCGCCGAAACATCCCCATGAACACCAGTGTTTGTTGAGACTAGTGTGTCAAACCTCTTTATGAGTTCTTGCAGGGCACCTGCAACGGTTTTGTCATTCGTGTCAAGGGAGAACGCAGGGAATGCTGGACCGAGGAGTGGACATGGGGTGAAAGAGAGGACCGAAGAGAAGAGCAAGAAGAATGTCGAAGTGTAAGAGATTGAAATCATTTTGAGATATTTACAATTGATTTGTATTCAGATTCTTGCTTCCCCTATATATATATTATACCCAACATCGGTTCGGTGATGCTGAAGGTCTTGACACATCGGCTCGGCGATACGGACATTGGATCATCATCCCAATTTAGAAACTCTAAGCCTAGGACTACTACCTATCTAGTCTATGATCTCGAATTGGGGCTTTTCTCACGTCAGTTCCAGTATCTGTTTCGTAACTTCAATTTTGGCAATCTTTTTTTAACTTCTAGCTAGCATAGAACATGGAAAGGCGAGAACAATTTTGACTGAAGAATATTTACAATGGTAGCCTCATAGAATAAAATATTGAATCAGAATCATACCCAGTCACCTGTAATCTGCTCAAAAGAAGATGCAAAGAAGAAATCTTGTGGGATTTGGAAGTCCTCCGCCGAAGCTGAAAATGAATCCCCAAAGGGGATATCGAGATGCTCAGCCTCCACAGCCCCCATAAACCCATCAAAGTGCATCAGCTCGAGACATACCGTATTCTGAAAGTCCTCAAAGCTCTCATTGTTGTGGGAGTTGTCTTCCTGTCTACCATCTCCCGCGAGCCAGTTCTCGATTTGGGCTACACGCTTCCCAAAGTCGAAGAAAGCATCTCGAGCGCCGTTAATATCTACATCGGGAGTAGTCAACGCTCCAACCCTCGATCTTAATTTGGATAGAGTATCTCGGAAGGCAGAAGTTTGATCTGGTTTGGAGGCTGCCACGGTGTGTCGATAGGTAACTAGCAGGGCGAATCCTATCTGTACCCATTGCGTATTGTTGAATCCGACTTCCTCGCTCGATGGAAGTCGAATGTACAGATTTAGGATAGAACTGGCTGAGATAAATGCCGCGAGCAACATTTCGTCTCTCCAGGAGTTTGACTCAAAGGGTGTTTGAGGCTCTTGGTTGGTGATGTTGAGAGCTAGTTGGAATAGGCTAAGCCCTGTCGCGTGGTATTGTATACCGAGAAGAACTTCAATTATATTTATTTACAAGTTAGTTTCAACACTCTCTTTAAAAGTGAACCTGGTATTCTGTTGAGACTTACAGCTTTCGTTGATACCGAAGGGTAGTTGACGGTGGAACGCCTCCAGTTCTGACTTCAAATTGGTGATGTAGAGCTCTGACCCCGATCCAGGCGTTTCCAAGTCAAGCCCATGCTTTGCAGATAGATTGTCGACTTTTTCTGCAATAAATTGGAGCTGTATCACATAGCTGATGTATTTATCCTGAGGATACTCGTTGGATTCGCTGAGAGTGTTGCAACACTCTTCCTGGTACGGAAGACGTAGGATAGTAGATTTCTTTTGCACAAGCATCGCAATACTAAAGCGAAATAGTTATCAGCCAATACTCAATAAGGTCCGATGGCACATAAACTCACGATGACGACAAATAGTAACAACCCAAGACAGCCCTCTGCTCATTGCTTCCCCAAGAAGGCCGATTAAACGTCTGATTCTGCAGATTATATTGAAGTCCGAAGCGCAGCTCTGTCTTCCATGTCCGTGTCTGCGGCGGACGGTCCAACCTCAAATCTATCATGAGGCTTATAGCCAGTTGAAGGAACTGAGTATAACGGTGTGGCCGTGAGTGATAATGCAACCTGCCATATATTGTCAGATGCAATCACGATATCAAAGTATTCATAGATCGGGATTTACCATGCAAGGAAGACCAGCAGACCTTGCAACAACTCAAAGGAGATTTCCCCGCCGATGACCATTCGTGATGCGACGACTTTCTTGACTTCGGCCCCTAGCGCCCGTTGCAGTGGCATATTCTCGTACGAAGCTGACGCGAGTATTGCTAGACATAGGAATGGCTTCTCCTGGCGGAGCTGCTTGACAGATACATCAGGGGGAACAACCACAAATGGGAAGTGTGGGGTCATTTTGGTCTTGAATGCGGTTAGATACCTTTCAGCAGTCTTCATATCAAGCAAGTCTCGACTGATGATGTCTTCAGGCGCAGCATCCCCGTCGACTAATGACGTGCTGCGCGTGCTCGTGTTGGTTTCATGCCCTTCTGGGCCACCCCGGTCAGCCTTGAGTTCATTGATCTTTGACTCAAGAGCCGCGATCTTACTGAGTCATACGTTAGATAATAAACAATACTATCATGGCGGAATGTTTGCTTACCGGTCCTTGTGGAAGCCCTTAAATCGACGCCCGGTCTGGCGATATAGACATTCTTTTCCCAAGCGGAGACACCTGTGTAGTTTAATTTAAATAAGCTCTAGTTTTCTTTAGCGGAAACCTCAATACTTGTTCTGATTCCTACCGATTACACGCGTTCTCGTTATCCCGGACACATCGCACCTTGGAATCTGCGCAACCCTGACACGTTTTCGATATGGGGGCATCGTGTTAATTCATCCGATGAAGCGAAACTGGGGTTGACTACAGTGGTGACCTTGTAGACCCCATGCTCTAAAACAAAGCACGGGCCTAGAGATGCATCTCCGTGGTGTTGAGCAAAAAAAACGTATTAGATGGATTGGAGGTGCCTTCAAACAAGGTGGGTTAGTGGTTCTATTTCATCTTTTGAGGTTGTCTCTTGCTGGAGATAGGCATACCTAGGTAGTTAGTATATCTGTTGGGGGGTTGAAGATGATTACGTTAGCTCATGTTGTACCTCATATTTTGGCCCCTTTTATTGCGTTGGTTTTCAGCAAAGGTTTTGTTTTCTTTTGTTTTCTTTTGTTTTGTTTTTTTTTTTCCTTTTATTGTTAATTCTTTTTCTTCAGAAGGATTATCCAAATCTCATTCCACCTATACAAGTAGAGCTAGCAGAATAAAAAAAAAAGGGTACTCAAAAGGTTGGCCCAATATTTAGGGGAGGTCCGAGAAAGTACATACATGCGGCTATACGTACGCCAACGGTAAAGACGCGCACAAAATCAATATCATCACTTTGTCTACGGTTCGCAGTGTGACAAAACGACATCACCTGGGAAACTGTATATTCTTATTACCGAATGAGTATAAGTATTTGTTAGTAAATGATGTTAATACGATATGCTGAATATGTATCCTGACATGGTTTCGAGGACTGCGCTAAACCAACTGACCGCTTCCAAGGTTGCCCCTTCCTGACTGTCACCCATCAACGCTCACTCATTGTCGCCTTCCTCATCCTGCATTTTTCTCCCACCTGCGCACTGAACTACAAGTTTCCGAAGCGATCCCCTAACTCCGAGTCAGACAGCACTGCTCTCCTCTAAAATATTGCCGTCGTCATTTACTCGCCCCTATACGCCCCGAGTATCTAGACCAGCCATCGTGCGCCCTGGATAGCGCGCTTCTCTGAGAGCACAGCGTTTCAGGTAATGGGATGGGATACTTGTTGGACTAGCCGAAACCATACACATTCTAATACTGTGTAGAGTGGAATAGGTCGGACTAAAGAAATAGCTAGCTTGGCCTAGGAGCCACTGTAGCCATAAGCTCGAGCGCTACATAAATTTCCGGGAATGTGGTGTTTCTGACCGGCCTTTCGTTCCACCTTTCTCCGCCCTTTGTCACTTCATAAAACACACGCGACGACATCGGTCAACTGTTATACAGAAACTCATCTGCCGAACCAAGCGAGTCATGGCTAATAAGAGAAAACACCGCAAAACCTGTGGTATTCTTCCACTTCGACTATGGATTGGCAAGAAACTCTTTGGCGCAGTCGGACCACATGGAGTACGAGTCAGCCCTAGCAGAATGATCAAAGGGCCTTGTGCCATGTCGGAGCTAGAAGCCTTGGAGTATGTCGCTGAGCACACATCAATTCCAGTGCCTAAAGTATTCAACGCCCACTATTACGATGATTGTCTCTATATTGAGATGGAGTATGTCCGTGGAATGAGCCTCGAGGCAGCATGGTACCACGATCATTTGTCACAAGACCAGAAGAAATACATCATCACCGAGGTTGCGGGCTACATCCGTCAACTTCGGAAATTAGAACCTCCGCGAGAAGGAATAGTTGCATCGGCGAGCTTCAACGAGGCCCTGGATCACCGAGTCGGATCTTGTACTTTTGGACCGTTTACGAGTCATAAAGGGTTCCACTCATACCTTCGAGCGAACCTTCCGATTGAGGACTGCGGCGAAGTAATCGGCCCAGAGGTCACCAAATGCCATTCCCGCCCCTATCGAAGTTGTTTTACCCACGCAGATATCGCCCCTCGGAATATCATGGTGGACAATGGGAAGGTCTCTGCGATCGTTGATTGGCAATTTGGCGGCTGGTACCCAGAATATTGGGAGTATACCAAGGCACACTACGGTCAGATAGATCGGTCTGAATGGTATGATGGATTGGAAAATGCTATGGAGAAATACGACGACGAGCTCAAAGCGGAACAAACTCTGTGGAGACGACTGGACGAGCCACAACTTCTCTGGCGAGGGAAAGAGCATCTGATTCCGGACCTCGTCCGAGGCAATGAGATCTGAGCGTTTCGCAAGTCACATACGCCGACCAGTGTAATTGATGCTAGCGGGCGTGCACATTAATCCGGGCTTGGAAATTGCATCGTGCTTCTGTTAAAAGGGCGACTGACTGTAATGTAAGTTGGCTCATGGTCTTGGAAAACAGCTTGTCGTGAATGTACTGGTGGATATAGATCCGGGTGCTAGCACGACAGGTCTAGCCAAGGTTCAAAGTGATCATACAGGCTGACTAGTCGACCGCGGAACCAAGATCGGCATCAATAAGATATCAGCCTATACTTGCCAGGTTTGAGACACTCAGGTCAAGAAGAAACCGGACTTCCGTGAGAAAATATTGCTTTGCAGTCAAGCTAACAAGATATGTTTGGAGATTGTCACATCATCGAAAAGGGGATTTCTGCGGCCTGGTTGGAGCTCATAGGGCAGCACCTCCGAGCTGCAAGCCTAGCCCCAAAATCTCCGGTGCATTTAACTAATTCGGGTGATTTGTCGTAAGAGGGATGAGAGATTTTAGTGTCCTCCGGTTTCACTGTCTGAAACTACCGTGGGAGAAGTAGTAATGATCTGCAGTTAGGTATCTATTTAACCGATGTTGTAGTATGATAGATAACGAGGGGTGGAAGTCTTTGACCTACGCTTGTATACTAAAGGGAAATATCACAGACAAAACACCATGCATATCTGTGGACTCTCCTTTGTTTTACTCTCTACAGGTGTTTACTGCTTATCGCCAAACCCGTCTTTGGAGCGGCGAGCGACCACAGAGATTCCATCTGACTCTTTCGAGTCTCTTGATACATACTGGAACTATCTTTATCCCTGGGGCGATACGCACAATGGCGGTTCACTCATGGACGCCGACCATGTCTCTGTGAATGATGGCATTCTCACCCTGACGGCTGAGCCTGTATCAGGTGAGCCCTCGCCCATCCATTACCTCTCAGGGGCGATCCACGCCAAGTCGACCTTCACCGTTGAGGAAGGTGGCGGATTAGACCTTAACGCCGAGTTCATCGCGCCTGTGTCCAAGGGGACATGGCCAGCATTCTGGCTGAACGCGGCGAGCGGATGGCCTCCGGAGATTGATATTGCCGAGTGGAAGGGCTCTGGTAAGATCTCGTTCAATACGTTCAATACGTCAAGCGAGGTCACCGCGCTGGATCTCGACTACCCAGATCCGACAGACTGGCACTCTGTCAAGGCCGAGCTCCGCGATGAGAATGGGTCGGATGTTAGCGTCAAGTTCTACCTTGATGGAGAGCTAGTATCGACACAATATGCGAAGGACTATGTTGGTCAGGGACTGCGACTGTAGGTTATTGTGGTATCGACATGACTTGGTTATATCTGTGGCTGACGGACTGTGCAGGATTATCAATTACCAAACAGAGGGTTCTTCTGGTTCTCCTGGGCCTTCAAAAAGTTTGTATTCTTGTCCGATTTATGATGTCTGTATATGCACTAACATTGTACAGCGACGACTTTCCAGGTTCGGAATGTCGAGGTCATCAATCAGAATGCATGAGTCTGGTCAAAATCTTAAGAAACCCATTTGTGGGTAGGCTACGGGGTTATTCTCCATAGTGGTAGTCTTTTGGCGACTTACTATGCGTTCCTTGTACTCAATGTCCCGATTTTGAAGCATTTATCTTTATCTTATTTCTATGCTTCGCCCTTGATCAACCACGCGCTGCCATTTTATTTGTCTTTCTTGCCCCTGTCACTCGTTATATCACTGTGCCTCGTCCTTGGAATCAGGTATATATCTAGTTGAATATGAACGCAGCACTTAACTCAAATAGAAGCAAACTATGCACAGCAACTATAACCTAACTTCAAACACTAAAATAGTCGTGGGACTCTCGCCAGTCTAGGGGGACATGGAAGTACATGGCATGGGAGATTTGAAGGGCAATTGGTGGCTGATCGGAGTCGACGGACGTGGGTCTTAGTCGAATTCAGAAAAGCAATATTTTACAAGCATGGGTTTCGCTGTTGCGATGTTGACATGGGGTTTACCGAATCTGTACTATCCGTCCAGAACTTACTCTTTACGGACATTGCCCCAATAAGGAAACAGTACGTATAATGGGAGTACCTCCCAGTTTTGCGGATCCCAGAATGCTCACCACACGACGTGGGTCCCGTATATCTCCACTCATCGTGTAGGTATGTTGTACATCTTGTAGTTATTCACAAATTAATCCGAGTAATAATAGACACCAGTAATAGACCCCTCGTATCAACCCAGAAATCCCGCCCAGGAAGGTTTGTACGTCCCCGATGAATCAAATCCAACACCATACCCTACCAAGCTGAGGATCAATACACCCAGGAAAAAAAGCAGGTTATGGAAAGCAATATGATTCTTTTCCATATCATAGGTATCAGAGAGAAGTAATACTTCGCGCTGGAACATCACGCTATGGTCTGCCAAAAACATAGCGACCAGCCACGAAACGCCGTAGAGAATCGATATTTCACCGAGATACTTCACCATCTTGGGAAAGTCAAACTGAGGGAAGGCTGCGAAAAAGGCGAATGTTAATACGAACCCCGTGACGTATATGAGAAAGCCAGGGGTATTATTCGTGGACCCGGTGGCAGGCAAAGAGCGCAATGAACAGATGATCCGCCCAGCTGGATTGATTAGTCTGTTTGGTGCGTATGCAATAACCACCAGATAGGTGCAAAGGAGAAAATATAGCATCGACGGCCCTATGCGGTTCTCGGTAGACGCTGTCTCCCGCTGCTCGATCTGGAAAGGGGCTGCAGGCTTTATGCAGATAAAGAAGACGAGCCACTGGGTGTAAATGGCAAAGACACCAAGGGCGCGATCCAGACTGTCACAAACTACGTCCGCTCTCGAAGAACGATGATTTATATCCCAATTTTCACTGCCTCGTGAAGGACCACCTTGAAGCTCAAGACGGTGGTCGATGAGGGGAATAATCTCGAACACACAAACGGGAATCAGGTAGCAATAAACCCAAGTCTTGGTCCATGGGAGACCAGAGCACCCCAGAAGCTTAGTGGCTTGGGTTATCGCTAGAACGAATACGGCAGGACGAACGAACGGTATCCTTTGAAGAGATCGAAGCCAAAGTGGCCCTCTTTCAGCATAAAGATTGCGATGTTTTAACGTTTGGCTGAGAGCGTCCATAACCGAGCGTTTACGGGAGAAGTAAACGGTGAATCTCAGAAGAAATCCGAAAAAGTCCGATAAGCATACGATTGGGCTACCACGGAGATATGCACGCAAACGGGGATCGAAACCGCAGATGCGACCAGATGGTTGGAGGATTGCTGTCATTGCCAAGGGGAAAAGTCCCCAGTAGGCAGACAGGTATGAAATACGAGAACCTATATTCTTATTAGTGTACATTCTTTTTTGGGGGAGAGGGGAGGAGAGGATGTTGTGGCGTACCCTCTAAGTCTGTTTTGTCTGCCATTCCGATTTCAACCGAGTGGTCTTTGAAAGGCCTCAAGACGAAATTATGAGAGAGAAGAAAGAGGGAGACCCAGCTCTGAACCTGACCTAAGCCACTCGTTTCCAACGCGTTCGTATGTGCACACGACAACAGACCTTGGTCCGCGTCCGAGGCTCGGTATGAGTGTGCGCTTACACCGTCCTCACCTCGTCCCAATTCCGAAATGGTAGAGATGGAGGCCTTCTCCCACGGAAACTAGCCAATGATATAGCGGGGACAGTATCTGTCTCGGCTTTCCATCGCCTTCTATATTGGCTATCACGTAAGACCGAAATTATGTCAGTCTATCCCATGCCGAATAACACCACAGGATAAATGAGACACATCAGCTTCGGATTCACCGTAATAGGTACAGAGTTGGGCATAGGGATGGGTTGTAATAGGCCGCAGGGGGCGAACTGGATCCATTTGGGCCTTGGCTCCTGTATTTCCAAGCTTAGCATTTCCCAATCAGAGTATACGAGAGGGAAAATTGGATGAAAGGACGAATTGACCCCCCAAATAGGTTAGAGGAGATCGGTTATGTCAAGCTTCATTTTGATGTGATTGGTCCAATATGATCCACATGTCAGCCTAGCGTGAACCCTGGCTCTAGCCTTACTGCCCTATAACTACCTAGGTAGAACTAGTAGTAACTAACATTATATTAAGGAGGAAAATAAGTATCTATCGCATCAAAATATCCTCTAGTATGAGTATCTCATTCCGCGCGCTGTTGGCTCTAGTAGCCCTTTCTTCTATATCACTCGCTAATGAAATCGGTTATTTCGATTCATCCTCCTGCGCCGATCCGAAGGGCTTCGCAACCTGCTACGAGAATGCAGACACCATGTACTCAAACTGTGTAAACAAAAATTGCGCTGGGGGAGGTGAATCATGCTACAACTCATGTGGTGGAAGCACATCCTGCATGAACGAGCAATGTCCTGGCCTAGGAATCGACTGCATCAATGCTTGTGAATGTGTAAGGTCCAGTTCTCTGATAGATTGCGCAGGCCAGAGTTGTTGGAATCGGGTAAGAGTTCTCTCCCAACTCATATAGCTTTTATCTGAACCCGTATCTTAGGTCTACTCTTGCGAGTATCAAGCTACAGTCCTAGACTACCTCAGCTTCTGTCGCAAACCTGACCGCGATGGATTACCGTACTGGCCAACACCGGACGATACCCCTGATTCCTGTTCCTGCAACCTCGGTCAAATCGACCAAAAAGAATCTTTGATTACCAATCAGATGGAAGAGTGTTCGAATAACCAGACGAATATCGGTCAAATGATAACCGACGCTGATGCGATGATTGAGTACGGTCAGGCATGTGCCTGCTGTGCATTTAGTGCTTATATCTCTGCGTACGTTTTAACCCGCGAGCTCAAACTATCCTTTTCTTTTAATCTGCTGTTTGCTAATGGTATTATTTAGTATCTGGGGTACCTGTCCTGACACTCAGCCCTCCCTACTCGCTGCAGATGAATGGTTTGCTGGCGTTCTCAATCCCGGTCACTGGGAAGAATGCGGACCCTACCTCGAGAAGTATGATTGCGCCGGTGATCTGGGCTATGGTCGTGCCGACGCTGGTGGAATCGCCAAATTCTACCCTCCTAGCAACCTGCCGCCCAATGGCACGAAATCCTTGTATAATATGGACGGCATTATCTCCACACCTGTCAGTGGCAATGTTTTAACATGGACCTTGGATTCAACATTGGTGCATACTGTCACTGTATCTTCGGCAGATGCTACTGTCACCGGTACAAAAGCGAGTGGAGGAACTGATAGTACTGCAAGTACTGCAAAGAATACTGCGTCTGGTGCGGCGGAGAGTGACGTAAAGCCTGGCATGGGGTCTATTTCGATAGTTCCCTCCTGGGCCATCGCCGGCATTGCTGGTATCTTGATTTTATCGACTTTGTGAGGGTCTCAGGTATAGTTTAGGATAGGCATACTTAAAGTTCATCGACTGGAAGCAATGGGTCACTTCTGGGTACTTTCTAATATGTCAGCAATCCTTTAATCTATATACGTCAGTGTATTAACTAAGTGCTAATTCATGGACGCATTCTGGTTGGGTGTGTTACTTATTAATGCACCAGCGAGTTCACAGTGGGTGTGCCCCCCAACCCAGCCTACTAATATCAAATGCATTTAGTTAACTAATCATGCAAAAGCAAATGATTAAAGTAGAATTGTTAATATAGTTAACATATAAAGAAATAAACTTTCGCTAGGATATACAAGGCTTTTATAGACTTAAAGAAGCTTTCTATTAATATACCAAGCCTTGTGTACTTAAAGGACATAAAACTATTCTAGAAACGGACGCTTTCAAATAGGTTATTAAGGGTGTACTTTTATAAATATGAAATAACGAAATACTACTCCCTTATATATACCTATTATGGAAATTATCTGAATACCCCTTCAACGTAGACTGGGAATCGCGCAGGAATATATTGGTCTAGGGCAAGATGAAGCGTGGAAAGATCAGCTACGCGATCATACAGACACGCAGTTTTTGGTTAGATTTCTCTTTGGATTGAGCAAGGATCCCGAGTTGAATGAGAGAGGACATTGAATTTCTAAAAAGAACCAGAACCATGAGGTTCAACTGGTCTAACAGCCGCGGTCTTTGTCGAGGGACCTTCCATTAAACTACTTTGATACGATACGTCTCGTGCTATTTGCAGGGAATGAAATCGTGCAATTGATTATATACATGAAAACTCAGCAGATAGCACGGATATCTGCCTTGCTTCATCTGCAAGAAATCTAGACTCATCACACGGCATCTGGATTTCAACTGAGTTGGTCTGATATCCCACCTCTCTCACCGCAAAGGAAAAAAAAAAAAAAGGAAGTCAAGGACGCCAGCTCAGCATATGACAAAACGAAACGACGAAAATAGAAAAGGACAATTTGGAGGTGACCCGCCTAGCAGAATCAGAATCAAACTTGACATGACAATAGACGGTCCGGTTCTCAGTTCCTAATGTAGGTTTTGCGCAAGAAGAACAGATGATCGAGATTGAATCACTCAAGTGTACATGCCCGGTTATTCACACATCCCCATGGCTCGGGATATGTGTCCCATGAGACACAAATTCGGTATATCAAGGAAAGAGGCCTGGAGAAGGAACTTATAGACCTGCGAACCCGCCAAACAACATTTTCCCCCGTAGCGCCAAGGTAACAAATACACACACTCCCTAGAACGCACGAAGATACTGTATTAGGAAGTCATTAGGCTTTCCGTCGCGAAACATCCATCCAAAAAGAGAAATGGGAGAAAAACAGGAAAAAGAAAAATGGGTCAGAAGGGAAGGAGGTGAAACACGCCGTGGTTAAAAGGTTCTCCCGGTGGTAATCATCGGGAAGATAACACACGGGGCAATGGAGAATGGTGGATGTTCGATGACGGTTTGGGATCAAAGATCAACTTGATCTCAAGCGAGATTTCCGGCGGACGGAATGCAGGTAGAGACTAGAAGGCTTTACGGTCACCAAGGTTTCCGGGCTTCTCATCAGTGTCAATGTGCCAGACCACGTAGTTGGGCAATCCGACCACCTGGTATCCGGCTCGCTTGGCCATGCGGGCGAAACCTTCTGTCTCGGCTTGGTTCTCGAAGGCGTATGCGGGGAAATTAATACCGGACCGATGCACATCAGCCTTGACGAGGATGTTGACACCACCAATTCCGTCAAGCTCCACCTCATCATCCTTGTTATTTCGCCAGTCGCCCATGCTGACCATGTAGGTGCGGCCAGTATCGTACTCTTTGTAGCCTTCGGCCAGAACGGTGTCGGTAGGCAGAGATGCGCGCAGTCGGCGGCCCTTGTCAGATTCGACCCATGAGTTGTAGTCAACTAGGAATGAAGATGTCAGCAATTTGCATAGCGCACGGGGTGTCACAGGTATACATACAGCGACCCTCGATATCATGGCCATCCTGGTTGTAACGGTGGAACCAAATGTCTAAAAAAACAAAATCACTGTCAGCTAGCTGTTCGACCACCGATCCAATTTCCGAGCAAAATAAACATACTTGGCACGAGAATGTCCTTATCGTGGGCCATGAAGTCCTCCAGGATACGCTCGGGACAGTCGGTTATGTCCACATCACGCCAGTACACCCAGGAGTGATCGGCCTTCAGGGCCGAATAGAGCAGGTAATTCCGGGCACGGGCGATAGCCTTGCGTCGTGGACCCTGTGCGGCGAACGAGTGTCGCTCTGCCACACTCATCTCAACGTCGGCACCGAAATCCTTCTGAATAACGGTTGCACTGCGGAAGCGAACCTTCTCCTCGGCGTGGTTCTGGATGCGGTCGAGTTCGGAGGCGAGGTTTGCGAGGGTGTCATCTTTGCAGTCACCAACGAGGAAGGCCAGATCGATCAACTCGTGTGGGTAAGACAGTTTGTAAAGGAGGTCGAAGTATTTAGCCAGGTAGGGAGCAGCATCACGAAGAGGGGTCAGGATGAGTACACGTTCGTGGTTTAGGGCGGCCTTGGAGGTAGACTTGATGGGGTTCAGGTCGAGATCGGTGATGGAGGTGGAGTTGACTTCGTAGGGTTCGTGGCGGTTGAAGAGGACAGGGGTCTGGGCGTGCGCACTCCATTCGACCATCTCGTTAATGGACATCTCCATGGGGGACTTGTGGGAACCATAGCAGTAGAAGCTGTCGGCGCGAGTCGGGTCAGTATGAATGGTTTCCCCCGATGATGGATTGGGTGGTCTCTCTCTCACCTTTGCATCTCTGATGCAGACCTGCTGACACCGCGCCACATGAGGATAAGCAGACCTGTCAAGGCTATGGAGACCAAAAAGCGTGTCCGTGTTAATAAAACGAGGACTGCCCTCCATGGTGGCAATCTGGCCTTGGCTGACTTCCAATTAACACCGCCCTTTGGCAACAACATGATGAGAGATGACGAGATGTGAGAGGTTTAAGAATTTCAGGGGCGATCCCGTCTCGAACACTCGTCGTAAAACCCCCGAACGAATGTGGAGAAGAGAGGAGGAGAAGAATGGTGAAGCGAATTGGTTGATAGGGAGAAAACAGAATCGGGAATCGAGGGAAATGCGATTGCCTGCCAAGCCCTGGAGAACGGCTGGAATCAGCAAGACAAGGACATTTACAACAACAACATACTTCAGTTCTACAGTTCTACAGTTCTAATGAATGTGTAGTTCCAAGTCTATTTTATCTATTTTACTATTTCTACTTTCTATTACTCTAAACCAAATAATAAGCATATCAAAATGTGCACTTTAACGGTCCAAACACAACAGTAACGGCCAAGACCCTTTTATTTTTATTTATAGCCTTGATCGTCTATAACCCTGTGCATCCTCCTTTAGGGGCTATTGAATACTGTGACATGGGGTATATCACTATGTATCTCTATTCTGTTGCCACGCAGTACGGAGTATACAACAGTACATGAATGTGCTGTCCCTCTTGTACTCCATAATCTGTACCCCCCCTATTTATGTTGTCACTTTTTGTCTGCAGGCATTGCGCGTACACATTTGACAGAGTACTTCCTCTTATTTGGTGTCATTTTTAATAGCGTAAAATTGTAATTTTCTATTATTATTTTTCTTTAATTCATTTATCAGTACCACACTACATACAATATACCAAAAAAAAAAAAAAAAAAATTTGAAATGACAAGTATCTCCAGCACGAGGTTAAAGTGAGACACGGCCTGGGCCCAACCCATATTTTATAGATTTTATACCACATCCTCCCTACTCTGTTAGGCACCTCTATTTCTAATGAAACAACAGTATAATTTTGAATTACCATTCTCATTTGAAAAAGAAGAAAGAAAGAAGAAAAAGCAATTCAACCTCCCATCTTCGAAACACAAATCATCTTTTAGACCACCTGTCCGTTTCAAGTCTGGACTGGTCTCCACCGAAGCCTGAGACGGCCCTCGATGATCGACGGCTGATTTGTCCCTGACAAGAATAATCAAATCCCCTATGATATCGCGTGGAGTATTGTTTGCATTCTTATGTCGTAGGCCCAGCATTCAAGGAATGTCTAGGAAATGACTGTATTTTAATACTATGTTGTATCTACTAAAAAGGGGTAAAGGCTACATAAATATATAAATATGTAGTCTGAACAACAATCTACATCGCAGCTTACGTGGAACAACGATATAAACCTAGAATCCATAACTTACTGCAGGGCTGTGTTATGATCGATGAATACATAGTTAGAAGCCAAATACCATGAGTTTAGGGCTGATAGGAATGCTTCATGCGGGAATGCTCAGCATGTTTACAATTTAGTAACAAAACTACCACACCCATACAAATAAGCATGATTTTCATCGAAGGTGATCCATTGAGTCATAGCTATAGACATAGAAAAATAGAAGAAAATGACAAAAGAAATGAGAAGAAATGAACAAAAGCCAAAATACATCCCCACCTGAACATATATATCCATAGTAAACAACGCCTAAAGACAAGAGGCAAAAAGAAGAAAAGCCACCGTTTTGTCCAAGAAAGAAAAGAAAAAAGACAAAAAGGAAATCCCGAGGCAAGGAAATCAATCGACAAAGGAAAAGGCTTCAAGCAGATTGGGGAACCTCTTGTTCATCCCCGAGATCAAAGGAAAATATTGTTACACAATGCAGGCGCTAAACGCACATGGAACGGGAAGAAGAAGGACTAAGCCTAACGGACCTCAGAGTAAGGGAGAGTAGCCACTGCTGCAAGGGCCTCATATATACGAATGAGGATGCAGCACAGACAGAAAGGTAGAGAAGGAGTCATGATATCATCAGTGAACAGGAAGAGTGTTCAATATCGGGCGTGCATCATCAATCGCCACTGCGGATTTATGGAGATGTAATGAGAGAGTGGCGACGGGATGGCGGTGGGAATGAGAAAGACGAA